ATTACTAAAATTCCACACTTCAAATAAATTAGAGGCATTAAAATATAATGAATATAAAATTTTTAAAAGTTAATACAACATGTTTAAATCACTGTCAATAAGCATTTATAAATTACACAATTAATAACTAAAAAATACGAGTACTCAAATTAGAAATAGGATAAAAACAATTTATCACTGCACACATGGCAGGGTAATCCCCGTCAACATACTTCTATTTGCCCATTTCACTATGGACGAAAGATTAAACATTTTATCGGCCTACAAATCAAAGTCAGTGTTGGAAACTGTTTTCAAGTTTCCACCACGTCAGTGTGTAAATAGGTCAGCTTGGATGAGGCATATCACGGGTATATTCCATTAATTTGTTTGTTCTTATTTCGAAGTACAAGTCAGTTGGAGCTTGGTATCGCTGATAACACACATTTTGATAGAAACCCGTGGCGTGGTCCCGGGGTTGTGATCGACATGCAAAAAGTCCAGTAACAGAGGGTTCATTGTTGAAGTACTTACTCAGTTAGATTGGATAATCTAGTAAAACTGTGACTGTTACAAAACTGTACATGTATCAGTACTGAATTACCCCTTTAGCGACAATAGCGAAATTAAATTCCAAGCGAAAATTAAGCATTTTACACAGTATATGTTAACGCACATATGCAAATTAGCAAACCGTTATTGTAAAGATCGTCACGCTAGGCTTTATGTATAGAATAAATGTAAATATTTTTGAACAAATTGGTCTGGTAGATGATACAAATCAAATGTTTCAAATTTAATTTTGATTTTGAGATCTGCTCAATTCGATCGTCGGAGTTCCCGCGTATAATTTAGATTCAGTTAATACTCGGAAAAGGAAAGAAATCAATTGGGACACAAGACTTGGGCAGAAGTAGCGGCTCAAGACAGAAAAGCATGGAGGATGAGAGATGTTGGCCCTATTTTCCGCTAAGAGACAAAGAAATGATGACTCGACGACGCTCTAAGATGGCAAAAAACTCCACCGCAACCATGACGGCGGAAATGCTCAGCGTTGTTTGGGGTTTTGGCTATTAGCATATCGACATATGCGTTTGTCAAGGGTTTCAAACAGTATATAGAGAATATATATAGTAGGCTTGGCAGAAGTAAACTTTAGTGATATCAAACCGCTGTACATTTCAATTTATTGTTTTGTAATAGGTGTATTCTGCATTCTATTTATAAGATTCTGTAAAGTGCGCCACCTATCGACCACTTGTAACGTGTTCGGCTATCACGAAAGATCTCGAGATGTATTAATAAATAAAAACACACTCAAAAATATATAAATACAAGTAATTATGGCGGAACCTGTGTAATGAAAAAAAAATATTTTGAATTGGAATAAGTTTTGACGCACTATGAAGTTATTTAGGATTCGATTTGACACGATGCTTAACATTGATTAAAAAACATATATAGTGGGTCATTCACTTCAAGTTATCGACACAGGTATTTTATTTTTTGTTCAATGTATAAGACATAGCGCCATCAACGATAGAAGGATAAAACAAATGCGCAGCGTATACTAGTGTGAGAGTGCTGTTTACCCTTCTTGAGTGTGTGAGGGCGCTGTTCATCCTTGAGTGTTATTTATATTTTCTTTAAATATTCATATTTCTACCTTTGAGATGTATTGTAAATTCTTTATTTTTATTATTAATTTCTGTAGAGGATATGTAATGTATTATTTCAATGTATTTTGTAATTTTGAGAAAACACTTCTTTTGCCGAGGTCATGTGACATGACAGACTCCATCTTGTAAACTTCTGTTTGCAAACACTTTTCGTTTGCTGTCTGCAATTTCACCCAGTTTCAATCTTTATCAGTCTCTAGAAGTTTGAAAACCATTTCAT